GGCCAGGACTCGAACCCAACATTAATGACTCGCGAAGCGTAAAAGCGAGTGTGCCACCACTATGCTACCTGGAACAGCTCCAAGAGTGGGTATGATATCATACGAGAGTCCTAGAAGCCATTGCATTAAGTAACCAATGAAAGAGGTATGGCCGAAGAGCTCTCCTGATATCTTATGGACAATTTTTGTCATGAGTGGACGAGTTCAGAGTTGATACATAGATATCCATCATTTAGGAAGAGCTTTCTTTACGACTAAGCTATACTGAGCATGGGGAAATGCTAAATTCTGTTGTAACAAATACACCATTGCTATACACACGATATCATCACTGCCTTAATCTTGAGTTTTAGGTTGTATTGATTAGTTTCTGTTCCACAAAAGAGGTGGTTTGGGTGTATATTTACCTGTCATTCTTACAATTACAAGCTTGGTTCACCTACCAGGAGCAAATGTTTACATATCAAGCCTCTTTATAAGAGAACATACTATAGATCAACCCGTCATTTGTCTAATTAGGTGAGATGCCACACAGCAGGAAGATGGCAGTTTATATTATAAAATGCAAGAAAAAATATTAAACATAGTACACTGTAGTTCGAGGTCTGCAACAGGCATCCCTTGCAAAGCCAGACATATAACAAGAAGCTCAAATAACCTCCGGAAAGGATTAACGTTGCAACAAGATATAAATATAGAATATGAGATGACACGTTTAACATGGGAAAACAATTATAACTTTATAATTCCATGGTTAGAATAAAGCAGGAAGTTATGGAACGGATTGGCTGCATTATTCCTAAACTGCCAAAAAGCATTCGACACTGTCCCATATAATTGATAAGCGAGCTGAACTAATTCTAGGGAAGCATTAGAGGGCTAAACACACTCAGAAGAATAAAAATGTCAGTCTTCCAAAACTTCCTTCGAGTGAACAAGTGATGGCGACCTCTTTACTAGCTTAAGAGTAACCATGAAAACTCCAGCCTCAGAAAACTGTTTTAAAATTGTCTCACAAGTGAAACGAATTTGACTCTGCCTGAGGAAACAAACGGACGTGGGGGAGGAAGGGAGAGTGGGGGAGAGAGGAAGAAAGACTGGGGGAGAGAGTGATTGAGAAAGGAAGGAAGAGTGGGGGGGGGAAGAGAGGGAGGGAGAGAATGAGAGGGAGAGGTTGCAGGTGGGTTTAGTGGGGAAGTCGCTATACTGAGTAATAAATGAGGCAATGGATGAGAGTAGAGGGGAGAGCTGAGAGAGAGCTGAGAGAGAGCTGAGAGAGAGAGAGAGAGAGAGAGAGAGAGAGAGAGAGAGAGAGAGAGAGAGAGAGAGAGAGAGAGAGAGAGAGAGAGAGAGAGAGAGAGAGAGAGAGAGAGAGAGAGAGAGAGAGAGAGAGAGAGAGAGAGAGATAACCGCGCTACAGGATGCGACTTTCCTTGAATAAAGCCTGTGTTATGTAATGAATGGGTTTGGGAAGCAAATGCTGAGATGCCGCAAAAGGCTGCTTTCCGGAGACAGACATTTAGGGAGAAGAAAGCGGGAAGGAAGAATTGAAGGATGGCGATAGGAAATGGCGGTAAGGAAGGGAAATGAATGAAATAACGAGTGTGTGTAGGAGATTGTGTGCTACGTCATCGCTGGTGTATATGCACTTACCTAGTTGCCTTCACCTAAATGTGCTTGCAGAAGATGGGCTACAGCTCATAGGCCCGGCACATCAATCTTTAAGCGACTGGTGAATAGGTTCCAGAGGCACCTAGACTCTATCATATCTACGAGCACAGCTTTACATTGAGTTTGCTTCCCACCTTTTCACTTTATAGTAATTTGTACAACATTATGTCAACAAAATTGTTCTAATGTCTCTTCGACTCGTTTGGGAACTTAGTTCCCATCTGTGTGCAGACGAGGAGTCACAATAACGTGGCTGAAATATGTTGACCAAACCACACATTAGAAAATGAAGGGCCGACGACGTTTCGGTCCGTCCTGGACCATTTCTCAAGTCGATTGTCACAATCGACTTGAGAATGGTCCAGGACGGACCGAAACGTCGGTTCCCATCTGTGACTTCTTGTTCGTTTACTACTCATTGTGAATGACATCCTCTTGTGTACCCTGTCTATTTCTCTGAGCATTTTGTATGTGATCATAATATCTTTATTGTTCCTTCTCTATTTCACTGAACTGACGTTCAACTCCTCCTGTAAGTATGAAAAGAAAGCCCCAAGTGTTTCAGCTCTCAGATTAGTTTGGAAGATTTTCACTGAAGTTTCTACAATTTGGTCTTCTTACTGATAATAACGTAAAAGGGACTCTACGTCGGTGCCTTCTGTTAGAGAACTAGTCTGCCATATAAATGGCGGGCAACGGTCTGAAGAACTTTATACACGTTTCTAAATACAGTTAGTTATATTGGTATACCTTGCACATGCTGCTGCTGATATTCGTTAACAGACTTTTTTATCACCTTACATGATATGCAGGCAAGGCACACTGGCCTGTATTTAAAGTTTAATGCCTCATGTCTGCCTCCCTTTTTTGTGTGCTGACGCTTCACTGGGTATCTTCTAGCTCTCTGGTAGCTCTCCTGTTTCCAGTAGCTTGTTATATATCATTGTAAACGGCCAGAATGGGACTTCCGCTCCTACTATTAATTTACATATCTTCTGCAGTTTTTTTACTTTGTTTTAAAGTCCTATACTGTTTCAAGCTTTGATGCAGTCGCCCTCATCTCTGGAACTTTCCCCCCCCCCTTGTTCTGTTTCTCCACCGAGAAATAGCTAAAGCCCATACGTGCAGAGAATTTGATAATCTGTAACATTGTGTTCCAGTGTTTCATCGCCCCCTGACTCTTAGGATAAAAACATCAGGAGCATTCTGAAGGATCTAGATGCTAAGATTATTGAAAGAAATGACGCCATGTTTGTCTACGCGATTGCGTACGTGTGCGCATGTGTGTATACGCATGTGTGTGTGTACAAGCGTGTACATTGTGTAAGCTTGTGTACGTGTGTGTAAGTGTATCCATTGGATCCCCATTTTGTTTATTGTCATACCAACTTTTCAAACAACAGTGTTAACTTATTTTCCTCCCCGTAGAAATTCCTTCTAAACACTTTATTATTAAGAAGTTTTTAATAATATCATTTTGACTCATCTATGCTCCGGATTTCTCTCCATATCCGTCCTTGTTTTACCTTATTGTATGACGAGTGTGTTCTGTTCATCAATGTTATCGATTTTATATGGAATTGTATATTCTGCTAAAATACGCCAATTAAGTGTGGCGAGGTTCAGTCTCATTTGTCTTTCTTCATAGTTCAAGCCTTGCCGTTCTGGTACGAGCTTCATTGAGTACCAGTGAACATTTTCTAGTTTGGTTTTATGCTGCCTTAGGGCTGGACTACACACTGGGACGACATACTTCACATGTGAAGAGTGGGCTTCACATGTGGTTTGTACAATGCTCTGAACGACGCCTTCCTTAATCTCACTAATGTCAATCAAATGTATATTATGCGAATGTTGATTTTGTTATCTTTTTAATTAAGTCTTCGTTAGTTATCGAGGGATTATATATACTTCCACGTCCTTCTCTTTTGGTATTTCTGGAACTCGTCTCCCTCTACAGTACACACTGAAATCACAATAGCGTGATGCATCAAATGAACAGATCGTAGCTCAGTCGATTAAGGCAGCGTCTGGGATGCTCTCGGACGTCGGTTCGAGTCCTCGTCACGGCCTTTGTGGATTTGTTCGTCTTCCTCACATTTCCCTCCTCTGCGTGGGTATTTCTGCTTCCTCTCTAATTCTTATTACCTTGCCATTCTATAGACTAAATCTAGGTACCATTTCTCCGACCGATCCTGAAGCTTATCCATATCTAATTAGTTCCATATTTGTTCACAATCCTCGTGTGTTCCATAACGTTCAACATTCAACACTTGTTGTTTCTTGTTTAAGATTCGCTACCTGGAACAAAAAGTTCCAAGTAGCACGGACTATGGTGAACCCGTAGTGGAATTTAGCCCCAACTGCCCAAACGTCGACGGCCTTATCTCCACTGCTCTAACAGACAGGAACCTACAAGTTCAGAAATGTCCCTGAGAACATTTATGGCAGGAAACGTGTTAACATTCCATGGAAGAGTTGACGAGTTGTTTTTGTTGTTGTTATAGATTCAGCTACTGGGAACAAAAAGTTCCATGTAGCACGGGCTATGGTGAGCCCGTGGAAGTTGACGAGGCAGCAACGAGTTCTATATATATCTGAAAATGGGACTCTAAAGCCCATTATCAAAATATATGTTTAATGCCCCATTATCATTCTTCCTGCTGAAGAGTGGCACACACACACTACTAACGGAGGATTGCGTTTGAACTTCTGGTGAACACTCTCTCATTCACTTTTATGTTCAGTGCGCATTTGAATTTTATACATACAAAAACAAATTATGAAAAGAATTCAAATGAGTAACCTTACCTCCCCTGACTATACAAAAATTTTCATATACAACCCGCCAAACACACACCGAAACTGTCTCCATTTTCCGCTTGTTACAACTTGTAATAAAGTTGTTACATCTTGGCTTAACGTGTTTATGACGTATTAGAACGTTGTTACAACTTGCTATATTGGTTATTATAACTGGTTAGGAGGTGTTAAAACTTGTTCGAACGTTGTACCAACGTCGTAGTTTCGGTGTGTGTTTGGCGGGAATTCTATGTTATATTTGAGAAAATATTACATTGACGAATGAAGTATACAAAACGGAATTCACGAATACTCCTTACTGGGAAGGCTGCAGCTAGCGCGAGATAAGATGATTTTTGTAACTTAATTACCACCAGCTGCACCTAACAACCTGGTTGATCACCAGCCAAGAGGCTTGGTCATAGTCTGGGCAGCGTTTGACCCTCGAAACCAACGACAGAACAGAAAGGAAAGCTAGGTAACTATGGATCGAGGTGGTGGAAAGCTCTCCGAGGATCATTACTTACTCTGCGTAGAAGTCTCTTCCCGGTCGACTGTAAGCATTTTCCCAAGTGTTCGTTGTTCTTGATTCTTGCTTTAATTTATATTCCTTTGTGTATTCTATGTGAACTGAATATTTTCATTATTTTTTATCATTTGAATTTTTATTGTGTAAATCATCTTGACGTTACCGTAATTATTGTTATTTTCTATTTTCATTGCCTTGTATTGAGATGAAATTTATTTTATAGTTTCAAGTTTTCTTGTCTATTGTTCCATTTACTAATTTTATTCCGGTTTTAGTTATCTGTTTGTTCATCGTTTATTCCAGCATTTAATTCTTTTACTATGTATGCGGAATGCTCTATTCGCTCCTTCTTATTTAATGATTTTTGTAAGCAACTGCACTTTAATTTTCCGCTGCAAGTCTATAACCATATGTTCTCTAGTCACATAGATATATAGATTAAATTTTTTGTTTAAAATAATATTTCAACCTTTCTATCAACACTCCCTAATTTAATACCGAGATATAAAAATGGTTGTTTGGGTGGTCGGTATATATATAATAGATAAAAGATTTTTTATATATATATATATAATCAGGGTCCCATCACGAGTGTTTAGCTGGGGCCAACTTAAGTGGTAATTCAGCTTCCGTGTCAAAATAATTGAGCTTAAATATCACGAGGGAGTTTAAGCCACTGTAATCATGAACATTACATGCAGGTGTTAGCAGGTGTTGGAGACAGTTTGTTGTTAGCACCAATATTTCTTAACCATTGTCTTCTAAATGAGCTTCCTCATATATTTACTTCGGGGTGTCGAAGCCAGCTAACGAAATTATTTCTTACGGTTGTAAAAACCAGTTAACATATATAACTTAATGGTGTTGAAGCTAGGTAACTAAAATATTAATTACGGGGAGTCAATGACAGCTAAGCCATCACACGAACAAATCCACAAGGGCCATGACGAGGATTCGAACCTGCGTCCGGGAGCATCCCAGACACTGTCTTTATCGACTGAGCTACGACAGGGTAATGACAGCTAAGTATTTAATAATACAGACAAAACTTGTATGGCCTATATGTCATTTCAGTTGGAATAAATATACAAATGAAAATTCAGATAAATTGGCTATAATAATTGCTTCCTAGAAGTTAAACAGCTTTGCTTCATGGTAATATAGCTGGTAACACATTATTTGCGTAAGCCAAACTTATTGAAACATTTGGTCTCGATTTTGAGTAGCTTCACACAGGGAAAGACTGATGTAATTTTGATCTAATTTGGAAATCACTATGTTGAAGAGTGCAACTAAATTGTTGAAGAGTGCAACTGACGATTAGGTTTTATTTGATAATGCAATCTGTATTGACAGATAGATGATGTAGCAATGGGTTCAACTCTTTGCACTTTTTATGCAAATGTATCGTTATGTATGTGTGAGTCACTTGGGTCAAACACATGTTTGCAAATGCAGGCGATGAGTCACTATAACGTGGCTAAAGTATGATGACCAGACCACACACTAGAAGGTGAAGGGACGACGACGTTTCGGTCCGTCCTGGACCATTCTCAAGTCGATTGTCAACCGACTTGAGACTTGAGAATGGCCCAGGACGGACCGAAACGTCGTCGTCCCTTCATCTTCTAGTGTGTGGTCTGGTCATCACATATTTGCAACATTTTCAGATTGTCAATTACAGTAGATATGTGAATTATTCCTTCCTCATTATTAATGACCTTTCATATGACGAAATTTGGTCATTTATTAATTATTAATAAACTTAAAACTACCTTATGAAATTGAGGATTGTTGATGGATTTTGCCTAGATAGGCTTCCTGGAGTTCTTCTACTCCCCAAGCCCAGTCCAGGGCCTGACTTGACTTGTGAGAGCTTGGTCCAACAGGCTGTTGCTTGGAGCGGCCCGCAGGCCCACATATCAATTACAGCCCGGCGATTGCAGAAAACTGTTCATTTTTTCTAAAAGACTTCCACTTTTGTTCAGACAATATTTCTTTATACTTTCTGGAAGGATACGGAACAACCACTGTCTCCTGATGTTCCTTCAGTGTTCTCGGATTGTGCCTCTAGTCTTCACTCGTTCTATCGTGCATTTCCTTCCATATCGTTCGCTTCAGTATGTTGTTATTTTACTGTGCAAATTTGGGACCTGACCCTCCGGTATTTTCCATGTTTATACAATTTGATCCCTCTCACGTTTTCTTTCTAGCGAGTACATTTTGAGAGCTTCGAGCCGATCCGAATAGTTTAAGTGCTCTATCGTGTCTATGCGGGCCGTGTAAGTTATCTGTATTCCCTCTCGGTAATCTCTCGTGTTCTGAAGGGGGGGGAAGTGAGCATTGAGTACCACTCTAGATGGGTGAGCACAAGTGATTTGAATAATACGATCTACGTATATTGGCATGACCACCACCAAGCTTTCGAGAAGACTGACCTGCCATCTAGAAACTGGTGTCTCTTGAAACCATATACAAAGTGCACGTAACACAACACTAGGAACATGTTAGTAGAAAATAAAAACAATCCTGGCATCCACCACTGACCAGAGAAAACTGCCAATACTGGAACCAACACTCATCAAAGAAAAAACACCCATCGTAAATATACAGTGTAAACGACTTCGATACCTTGCCTACGCTTAGACCCAGACCTCACCTTGCCTACACTCAAACCCAGACCTCTCCTTGCGTACGCTTAGACCCAGACCTCACCTTGCCTACACTCAGACCCAGACCTCACCTTGCCTACGCTCAGACCCAGACCTCACCTTGCCTACGCTCAGACCCAGACCTCACCTTGCCTACGCTTAGACCCAGACCTCACCTTGCCTACGCTTAGACCCAGACCTCACCTTGCCTATACTCAAACCCAGACCTCTCCTTGCCTACGCTTAGACCCAGACCTCTCCTTGCCTACGCTCAGACCAAGACCTCACCTTGCCTACGCTCAGACCCAGACCTCACCTTGCCTACGCTCAGACCCAGACCTCACCTTGCCTACGCTCAGACCCAGACCTCACCTTGCCTACGCTCAGACCCAGACCTCACCTTGCCTACGCTCAGAACCAGACCTCACCTTGCCTACGCTCAGACCCAGACTTCACCTTGCCTACGCTTAGACCCAGACCTCACCTTGCCTACGCTCAGACCCAGACTTCACCTTGCCTACGCTTAGACCCAGACAAGACAATTTACAAAACTTCACCTCTTTCATATGTGTATTTAAGATAAACTTGCACCTTGTGTATTCATTCCATACCTGAAGATGTTTCAGAGTGGAAAGAAACATTGTAGAAAATATACCATTCAATAATCATTAGAGTTTCTTTACCATGAATTTCGGTAACTTGATTGCTCTTATTAATCCCAAGAGTAAGAAAATAGAAGCATAGAAAGCAAGTAAAACAAGAAAGCAAGCAAAGATCAACACCGCAGTTAATGCGGTCATATATAACCAAAAATGCTTAAAAGGTACGCCTGCTGCCCAAGTATACAAATATATACAGTATATATATATGCACACACACACACACACACACACACACACACACACACACACACACACACACACACACACACACACACACACACACACACACACACACACACACACACACACACACACACACACACACGGACACACACACACAAACACACACACACGACTGCACCGCACTCATTTGGGGAACATTAGGTCATAAAACTGCTATTCAGAAATACCCTTTTCTAAATAACAATAATAGCGCATGCAATTATACTCTACCCAGATTATGTACACCGCCTTAGTTATAGCACTAAATTATAGACGCTAGGGAGGAGATCAGGCGCTTCACGCTCCCCTTACCTCTTCAAGGAAAGACATGCCGGAAATAAGCTTGCTTATAAATATATCTTCCTTGAGAACAATAGCGAGAGGACAAAAGGCTGTTTTGAATGATTTTACGAGGCAGTGATGACTGCCAAATGAGGTAATCTTCCGTGGTATTTAGCCGACTCGGTTTTCTGTTACAACGACGCAATTTCATCCTTCTCGAGAACGCACTGATAAAAAAAAGGAGAAATAAACAAAATCAATAAGACTGTAAAAGAGAGAGAAAGAGAGATAGATAGAGAGAGAGAGAGAGAGAGAGAGAGAGAGAGAGAGAGAGAGAGAGAGAGAGAGAGAGAGAGAGAGAGAGAGAGAGAGAGAGAGAGAGAAAGAGAGATAGATAGATAGAGAGAGAGAGAGAGAGAGTAGGGTGAAAGGATGTTTAGGGAGAGCAAGCAGGACATCCTGTGTCCTCACTGACCTCCACGACAATATAACAGCTGCTCCATTATCTTGTGTGATATCATATAAACACGTTCAGAGCAACAAAGCCAGCGGGAGATATCACCCCCTCCTGCCCTTCCTCCCTCCCTCCACGTGGGGAGATATCACCCCCTCTTGCCCTTCCTCCCTCCCTCCACGTGGGGAGATATCACCCCCTCTTGCCCTTCCTCCCTCCCTCCACGTGGCGTTGCATTGACTCCTCCTACTCCTCCTACTTCTCCTACTCCTTCACTTATTTACGAAGCACCTCCTCCTCTTTCCCCACTCCCTCCGAGTCGTCTCACCCTCCTACCTTTCCTCCCATCCTGCTGCAAGTCACAAGCCTTTTCCTCGACTTATCCTTGCCTGCGTTTGGAGTTTTAAGGAGATTATCGTGAACACAGTTGAAGAAATATGAACATGCTGTTTGGTGTCGATGGAGCGAGTTGCGTGCTTGGGGTTGATGGGTGTGTTGAGCTTTTTTTTTTTTTAGGTGGGAAGGAGGGAAGGGTCTGTTTGTGGTTTGCGGTAGCTTCAGGCAATTGTGGACCATCGCGTGGGGCCGGTTGGGCACACCTTCTTGGTTAAAGGTCATGACAATATTCACAACTTTGGTTGTTATACCTTAATGGTCATACTGTACTATCAGCGTTAACCAATTATTATTATTATCATTATTATCTTCATCTATACTCCGAGGAGGTGACGCTTTGGTCTACGTTTTTATTTCATGATTAATTTCTAACTGTACCAATAACATTGTGGTGAATTTTTTTTAACGTGGGAGACATTCTGATAAAGGAGCAACTTTCAAACAGCCTCGGGACCATGGGAGTACCTTCTAACCGTTCCTCGAAAGCAAAGACAAAATAACAAATGCTGTCACGAAATCTTCGCTGAGTTCGACTCGTCCGGTTCGTGGATTTCCGTGTACTTTGTGCAGCTGTGGATCCGGATTTTCATGACAAGTGGTGCGTAATACCTCTCACACCAGCCACGTGAATCAGCTTTAAGTCGACGTAATCCTATTGATCATCATTGCAACAGATGACTTAAGGTCATTTATCCCTCAAGCTTTCCGGCGAAGACAACCCAGACAGTCGAGGGAATGAAAGGAGGTCAAAATTGGTCCCAGGGGGATCGAACGCGTTGCCGACTCGTCAAGAAGCCAGCATGACCGTGTAGCACTGAGATGGGATGTGACAACAAGGAGCGAGGGAGGTGAAGGAACTGTGGACCATTACCAATCAAACCGTCGACCAAGCAAGAACATTTTTATTGAGTCATTTACTATACACCACAATACCCGTTCAGAACGCGGTGGCGTCCAGAGTTTCAGGTTACGAAGGAGCACAAGAGAGCCGTAAGGATCATGAACTGATCCCTACGGCTCATTTAGTTAAGTAACAATCTTGAAGCTTTTTACACAAATTTATATACAGTTTGTATGTATATATATACAGATAAACAACCAAGTTAAGGGACGTGGTGAGGGTGAAAGCTTCCGGGGTTAGGAGTGAGTGAGGGGAGAGATGCAAGGGACACGACGTGAGATCCAGGCTACGGAATATGTGTGTGCACGCGCGTGTAAGTTGTTCTTAGATGTGTGAATCGCGCGTGTAAGTTGTTCTTAGGTGTGTGTGTGTGTGTGTGTGTGTTCGTAATCACCAGCGACTACTTGAGGCAGCCAGCGTGTTGCACTTACCCGTTGTCAGGCAAAGCATGAAACACAAAATTTTCTCATGGAACGGCATGCACACTGTGTCCACGGGATGGGGAAACTAAACAACATTTTGATGGGGGAGGGAAGAGGGGAGGTATAGGTAGAGATTTGCTTGGAATTTAGGTAGGTTGGGGGCGCCATGGGGGAGTCGACAGAGCTTGAGGACGGGTAGGGCTGAGGTCTGGAGGTTGGAGTGTTGGGAGGGGGGGGAGGAGAAAGTTTTGCAAGCTCACCTAAATAGCCAAACGACACCGGATGGTAAAGCTTTATAACCCACGATCATTTTATTCCCCTCTTTCCCCCCCCCCTTCCCCCCCTCTGCGCTCTCTATCGCCCCGGCCAAAGATGCCATCAATTTTTGATTGCTCCTCGATTTTTATACCCCGTCATTTGCTCGTATTGGAGGTGGATGACTAAGTTTGGCTTTCTGTTCTGTCGGTGGATGAGTTAATGAGTGTGTGTGTGTGTGGATGCAGGGGCTGTGTGCAAATGGAGCTATGTACCAGTGGGGTTGTGTGTGAGATAGAGAGACTGTGTACAAGTGGAACTTTGTGGGAGTGTGACTGTATATGTGTTTTTGGGAGCACACGTGAGAAGAAATGTTTTCTTTGAAGCAACTGGCGACTGGAACTCTCTTTCGCCAATATGGAATACCATAGAAACCACACTATACACTCTCTAGGATTTATAATGTGGAATAAATGTGTTTTAGATCCTGTTTAGTTAAAACTATAAAAAATCTTTAACTTAATCTCATCCAGTGAAGCTAGACACTGACAGTGGTCCTCTGTTAGATATCAAATTATAATATTATGTGTGCAGAAGCTCTCGTATTATGAAGTTCACTGATAAATGAGTTATTATACACTATTTATTCCCTCCAAAACCTATTGAAAAATCCGGCTTGCCGTAAAAACTGCAATAAAAATTTCTCGACATATATTATCTTAATGCTTATTTCCAATATCGTAATATAAAATGGTATGGAAATACGAATAATCTTCTGTTTCTTTTGCATTTTCTTGTTTGCATTTGTGTTGCTCACGTGACCCCAAAATGCGAGGTGATTCGTTGAAATATATCCCCTAAATTGACCATCGAGTGCTGTCGGGAGTTGGGTTAAAGGTCTGACAACTTCTAATTGTTTTGAACAGTCAGAGTGGTCTAGCTGGTAAAGTACTGGATACGCTAAAGTGCAAGGAGCCCTGGCTGTCTGGGTTCGAAACTTTCAGGGGTGAGGGAGAGAAGGCAGAGAGGGGAGGAGGAGAAAGAGAGGGCAGTAGAAAGAGAGCAAGAGAGAGAGGGAGGGAAAGTAAGGCTTGTGTGTAGAGTGATAGAAACTTCAAAAATGCATCAAAAGACGTTCTGTTTCTAATATCCATAATCTGCGTGTCATCTTCTAATAGAAGTAATCAACATTTCCTAAAT